TAGATATTCCTATCACGAGGAGTAAATACAATTATTGAATTTGTTCTAAATCGACATTCACATTTCCTGAGATGAAACAATTTCCTCAAATATTGCTCCCTTGATTTTTAGCGGCTCATGGCAGTATAATGGTTTGCATGCCACTAGAACAGTGCCGCCACACAAAGAGTATAAAGAAATACATTTCGCTTTCTGCCATCCCTTACACTGAAGTTTCCAATCCCCAACCACACTGACTACAGCACTATACTGACACAATCAGAACTATTTGATGTTACAAAAAGTTATCCTAAAAGGAAATTCAAAATGCCATTATAAAAAACTAGAGGCTCGATGCACGAAATTCGTGCAAGAGTAGGCTTTCCTTCCCCCGGCTGCCGGCACCGGCTTCCCTCTGGCACCTGGGACCCGGGACCCAGGCTTCCCTTCGGCCACCAGCAGGCATCTGGGACCCGGGCTCCCCTCGCAGTCCCGGCTTCATCCGGAAGGATGTCAGATCTAATTAGCATATTACACTTTTATTATTATAGATTACATGTCTGAGATAAATTTTCTCAAAATTAAACAATCAGGCTTCCGTCCTCTTGTCTTAATAAACAAGGGCAAATGCTACTGTATCTTAAGTTCCTTACATTCCAACATCCAATTACATTGCAAATATTAATTTGCCCTCAAAATAAAAGTATAAATTACCTTAATAAAAATTGAGGTCAGGAAAACTATGAGTTTGGCTTCTGTTATATTGCTCACACCACTCTTTTCAACTTGTTCTGGTGCTGGAACCTAAACAGAAAAATATGCATCCTGCTCATAAAACAATCTCTAAAGTTAAGAGCATACAGGTAGCTATAGAGACTGCACTGCCAGTTATGGAGACAGATGAAAAATTTCTTCATCCTAAAAGTTGAAGGTAAAAGAATTAACAAAAATGAATGTGATTGTTCGTTTTCAGAAAGCCATCCAGAAGCAACCATCTTAAACATACCACAGTTCAGGCTGAAATTTCTATGAATGGGACCACACATTGGGCTTCACCTGCTTTACTTTGCAATCCCCTATTTTAAGGAATCAAAGGCCAGAAAAGATAAGGAACTTGCTCAAGGTCTCACAATAAATCATGGCATCAGGAATCAAAACTGAGATCTGGCCCTGGCCAGTGTTGCTCAGTCGATTGGCTGGGCATAATTCCATGCACCGAAAACTTGCTGGTTCAATTCCTGGTCGGGGCACATGCCTGGGTTGCACGCTCATTCCCAGGAAGGAATGTGTAGAAGACAGTTGATCAATGTTTCTCTCTCACATCCCTCTCTCTCTCCCCCTCCTAATCGCTCTAAAATTTAATTTAAAAATCTTCAAAAGCAAAAGAAAAACTTAGATCTGGCTCTAATATTTGTGCTCTTTCTATTTTCTTGTTGCCTTTTATACAAACAATGGAGCAGATAAAGTTCCCCAGGTTCGACAATACCTGGTAAAACTCTCGAAGGACTATTTCGCTCCTACACATCCCTAATTAACCTTCATTATTATTATTTATTAATTTTATTATTTTTTTACTTTAGAGAGGGAGGAAACGCGAGAGAGAGAAAGAGAGAAACAATGATGTGAGAGACCAACTGGGTTGAACCTTGGTCACCCTGATGGGAATCAAACCTGTCACCTTGCCCAGCCGGCATGGCTCAGTGGTTGAGCATCGACCTATAAACCAGGAAGTCATGGTTTGATTCCCGGTCAGAGCATATGCCCAAGTTTCGGACTCGATCCCGAGTGTGGAGCATGCAGGAGGCAGCGGATCAATGACTCTCTCTCATCATTAATGTTTCTATCTCTTACTCCTCCCTTCCTCTTTGAAATCAATAAAAAAATATATAAAAACAAACCCCTACAACCTTCTGGTAGGAATGATGCTTCACCCAACTGAGCCATACTGGCCAGGGCTAACCTTGATTACTTTCCATACAACTTATTTGGGATCCTGATGCTAAGAAAGAAAAAACCTGAGTAGCAAAAATAAAGAACTTGAGTCATTATTGGTGAGGTAAACAATGGTAAATTATAACTAATAAATTGGAGTTGTGGTTTACAAAAGCAGTCGTTTGTGATATTACCTTATCTGAATAAATTTCCCAGAATCTGCCTGCCCTTAGTTGTTAATTCTTGAACCTGAAGTACTCCGGGCCATTATTCAAGAGAATGAAGATCCCAGCAGGGTGTGCACAGTGCAGTGACACCTGTTTTTAACTATCAGCTAACTCCACCCATCTTAATAACAAATGACATATTTTAGAGTAATATGCATACATATAAGTAGCCACTATATTTTTATTTGAACTTGTGAAAATATTTCCGAATCAATGCTGAGAAGCACTATATAAAAGCAAATTATGGGGATGTAGGGTCAAAACTTTGTTCTGAGAACTAGAAATATTACTGGTAAGTCATTTAAGACCTTGTGAAGATTTTGTTTAATGCCAAGTTTGTAAAGAGGTTTTTATGTGCATATGTGGGGTCAGGAAGTACATAGGAAACCCCCTCACTTTCAGCTCAATTGTGCCGAGAAACTAAAACTATTCTAGAAAAATAAAGTCCATTTTCTTTAAAGTGTTTAAAAGAACAAAAATTTATGCCATCTTCTCTTTATTGGTAAACCCAGCCTTTGACAGTATTAATGCCAACTTCTTTTCTAGAAAATGTAATTATACACTTGAGTTCATTCTCTTGCTTTCCTACTTCAAAAGTCAATTTTGACATCTATTGATCCTCAGATAAACCTCCCCCAATGATACTGGATCTACAAAAAAAAATTGTGTGTTGCAAAAGTGTATAAGAGTATACTAGTTTTTACTGATAAGCTCTAATGAAGCTTTTTTTTTTTAATTCTTTATTAGTTAAGGTGAAGCTTTTTTTTTTAATGAAGCATTTGCTATTGAAAATAGGAATTTAAATAGTAGGATAAAAGGAGAAAAACTGTGGAAACTTGATAAACTATGTCACTGTTAAATTTTCTTAATTTGCTTTTTTCCTGCAACCTCCTAGTCATCAAATTTTTTTAAAAAAAAAAAAAGGAGAAAAACTGAAAGGAAAAAAAAAGTTTGGTTTCTTACCTGGTCTGTATTAAGAAAACAAACAGGATTGTTTGGTTCAAATGCTCCAATCAGCCAAGGATTTTCAGAATAGTCAGCATAAAATTCCAGCTCCAGCTTCACGTCTTTAAAGTTAGGCAGGTTTATCACCGCACTGGCCACTTTGTCAGATCCACATTCCAGCTTTCCCTCATATGTCAGCTTATTACTTAAGGACATAATTTTACTAAGGGATGATAAAAATAGTTTTAGTCTTGGCAGATGAAAACGCACACGCACATCACTCGAAGCTGACACTGTTACCAATACCTGTTCATTCTGTACTGCACAGTTAACTGAACGACAGCATTTTTATTCCGCTCCAGCCTCTTGAACAAGCTTTCACTCATGCCAAGAGCTCTGCCAACATAAATGCAGGCGTATCAGTGTACTGTGACGGCCCCTTAGGAAGAATCCAGTTTAAAATGAAAACTTCAGCATCTGCTTACCTTGCCTCACGGTTGAGCACCAGGGGAGGAAGCTGCTGATGATCCCCCACCAACACAAATCTCCGTGAAAAGAAAAGTGGCCCCAGGCAAACTGGTTGGCTAATTTGAGAGGCTTCATCCACAATACAAAAATCAAAAACTTTACGAGAAAATATTGGATGGTTTATTCCCATACATGTTGTTGCAACTATAAGCTAAAAACAAAGAAAACTGATCAGTTATTTAATATGTCCAAGAAATGTAATTTCTTTTTTCCCATTTTTGAAATTAAAATATATTAAAAAGATTTTGTCCCCAATAACAGGAACACCTCGATATTTTTTATTCTGAGACATAGCATGCAAAAATATTTAATTTTTTACTACAGATTGTAAAAAAATCAAGTGTTTTTTCTGGACATTATAACAATTCTCAAATTTACAGATCAAAAACAGCTCCAAGAAAAGCCAAAGGAACAGGAAAGGGAAGCCAAATAGACTGAAAGCTTTTATTCAATAACCACTCTAGCCAATCACCACAAAAAAAACTGTGGCCCTAGCTGGTTTGGCTCAGTGGCTAGATCATTGGACTGTGGACTGAAGGTCCCGAGTTCTAGAAAAATAGAGGTCACAGTCAAGGGCACATGCTCAGGTTGCGGGCTCAATTCCCAGTAGGGGGCGTGTAGGAGGCAGCCGATCAATGATACTCTCTCATCATTGATGTTTTTATCTCTCTCTCCCTCTCCCTTCCTCTCTGAAATCAATAAAAACAAAATAATTTAAAAAAGAAAAGAAAAAACTGTGGCTTCATCCCCCACTGATACTAGCAGAGACCTAATGGGGGGGCTAGACTTCAACTGTCCCTAGTTTAAAAGGCTCCCCATTCTTGATATGACCAAATTGTAGAAACGGAGAACAGTTAAGGGGTTTCCAGGGGTTAAGCAGGGGCGGGGTGGGAAAGAAATGGGTGTGGTTATAAAAATGCAACATGAGTGATCCCTGTGGTAATGGACTAATTATTCTGTATCAATGTCATCATCCTGGTTGTGAGTTTACTACAGTTTTGTAAAATGGTAAACATTGGGCAAAGGATATACATGATCTCTGTATTATTTCTTATAGCTGCATGTGAATCTATAATTATCTCAAAATAATTTTCAAAAACTTTAAAATAACTGGCATAGATATTAGACAAAGGAGTTGAAGGAACAACCTATTAAATCTAACTTATTTTAGATTATTTTAAATAATGTTTCTTTTTATATATGTAGTTTATTGATTTTTAGAGAGAAAGGAGAGGGAGAGAGAGAGAGAGAGAGAGAGAGAGAAACACTGATGTAAGAGCTCAACATCGATCAGCTGCCTCCTGCACATCCCCGCCAGACCAAGCCTGCAACATGGGCATATGCTCTTGACTGGGAATCGAACCCACAATCTCTTGCTGCACAGAACAATGCCCAACCAACTGAGCCACACTGTTTCTTTTCTTTTTCTTAATGTTTTTATTGATTTAAGAGAGGAAGGGGGAGAGAAAGAGAAAGACATCAATGTGAGAGAGAAACACCACCTGGCTGCCTCCTGCGCCTCCTACTGGGGACTGAGTCTGCAATTCTGGCTTGTGCCCTCATCAGGAATCAGGTGACCTTGGCACCCTTTTGGTGGGATGATGCTCAACAAGCTGAGCCACGTGGGCCAGGGCTAGATGAATTTTTAAAAAAATCTATTTGTATTGATTTCAAAGAGGAAGGGAATGAAGAGAGAGACAGAAACATCAATGATGAGCAGGAATTATTGATTGGCTGCCTCCTGCACGCCCCCTATTGGCGACCGAGCCCACAACCCGGGCATGTGCCCTTGACAGGAATCTAACCGGGACCCTTGATGCTCTATCCACTGAGCCAAACCTGCTAGACTAGATGATTTTTTTAAAAGACAAAAATACCAGTTAAGACTTCCTAGTAAAATATATAGACATTAAGTAATAAAATGTAAGTTAGCTTCTATATAGAAAAAAAAAAATCAAAAGACTGCTCGTGTGCTATTGCCTCTAAATTCAAACTCACTAAAAAATCCTGATTAATAGTTTTCTAGGTGTGACAGTGTGATTTAATAAGAAATATATACTTGGTCTTCCTCCTGGTTCTTGGCACAGAGCTCTTAAACCCCTTGGAATTTCCTGATAGGGGTGAGAAGAACATCTTAAGCCCCTTTCAACCAAACCAGCATTTATTGCAGAAGGTTTGACAGAGGATTGGAGCTGGTTGCCAGAGGAACCAACCATGTGATTACAGAGTTAGGACTTTCATCCATCCCTCCATCTCCATGAAGGGGAGAGGGGCTGGGGATTAAGCTAATCACCAATGGCCAATGATAAATCACACCGGCATGACGGAATCTCCATAAAAACCCCAAACAACAGGGTTCGGTGAACACATCATGGAGCTGGGAGGGTGGTTCACCCGGAGAGGACATAGAAGCCTCATGTGCCTTTCCACATACCTTCCCCTGTGCATCTCTTCCATGTGGCTGTTCCTGAACTGCATCCTATAAATGTATTCAGTAGCAGTAAGAAAAGCACCTTCTTGAGCTCTATGAGCCATTCTAGCAAATTATCGAACCCAAGGAGGGGGTCATGGGAGCCCCAATTTATAGCTAGTTGTTCAGAAGCACAAGAGGCCCTGACTTGCAATTTAGAACTGAAGTGGGGGGCAGTCTTGTGGGACTAAGCCCTTAAGCTGAGGGGTCTACACTAACTCCAGGTCGTGAGTGTCAGAAGTGTTGTGAGGGAAGCAGAGCTTTCCTTTACTAGGATATTTTAAACTAGAAGATGAGATCCCTGAATAATAAACCAAAAACCTCATTTCCGTTCAGAAGCAAGCCAGCAAACTGTAAATTAGTAAATTGGTCCTGTAGTTTACATGAATTAATCATGTGCAAATTTGGTCAGTGTGACTGAATTTCCCAGAGTGCTGCTTCTCCCCAGTCTGGCTACAGAAATTAATATCAGCATTCATACACCTCGCTGTACTTACATGGCTATTGTAGAGTTCTTCTAGAAGCGCTAAGGATTTAATGGACTTTGATCTGCAAATTTCCTCCTCTGTAAATTTCTGGATATCTGGATGTACCTTCTGAGTCTGACCCAAGCGCAAAAATCCTATTTTAAACTTCGCTAACTTCAAAAGAATATTGTCAACAGCAGAATGCGTATAACTGGTCAACAAAACACTAAAACCACAGGCATACAGAATTCTTACCTAAGAATGAATAAGAGAAAGGACAACGGCATTACTTTTAATTCCAGACCATTTTTAACATGCTTATGTTTTTCTAATAGAATTAGGAAACTTAATAGGAAGCATATCTAAGAGTTGAACCAAATAACTTTTTAAAAAAATTATAAGGCCAAAATGTTTTATGAAAGTATTATGGAAAGTAATAAAACTGAATACATATGAACTTTCAATTGGCACACAGTATCAATCAATAAATATTTGCTATCATTATCATTAATCAGTAAATTACTACTCAGAAATTTACCAGTGTGGAAAAAAAATCCAAGAAAAATCTATTTTAACCACCTCTATATAATTTATCATTTTTTAAAAAGGAAAACATACAATGATACATATACCACCAACATAAAGAGACCTTAGACAATCCAAAATGCAAGAAATCTGCAACATGATTACAACTATTGGTCATTTAGCTTTTCTATTTCTCATGTCATTCTACAAAGGTAATTTGAAATAAAGGCATCTTGAGTTAATATTCAGCTTTTTAAAAATATATATATTTTATTGATTCCACTGGAGATTGAGCCTGCAACCCGGGCATGTGCCCTGACTGGGAATTGAACCGTGACCTCCTGGTTCATAGGTTGAAGCTCAACCACTGAGCCACACCAGTCAGGCAATATTCAACTCTTTTGATCTCAAACATCATAGTCTCTGAACAAAGGAGAAGCTGATTTACATATTTAGTTTCTAAGCAAAAGAAAAATGACCTTACAAGAGTACATATTGTAGTGGTCTTTCCTGTTCCAGGCATGCCCACGATGAGCGTGTAGTCTTTGGAAAGAAGTACCTTTTTCATTGCTTGCCTCTGAGGTTTATTCAAACCTACATTTAAATGTAAAAATAACAGAAAAAAGTATATTGAATTTCAATGAACAAATTCACTATTTTGTAAGAAAAGCAGCCTCTATTCAAGTTTCTCCAATACATCTTCAAAGCAAGAAATTATGGTGATATTAAAAAATATATGTAAACTACTTTCAAAGAGACTGTGTAATAATTATAACTGCATATAAATCATTAAAACATTAGACTGTAGGTTAAATTATAAATAGAACAAAAAAAAATTGGAAGAGGACATGCTGATTATAGCATACCTTTTAGAATAGAGGCAACTGTGTCCTTTGCATCATGTGGAAGAATGGAACTGAGGTAGGAAATAAACTGAGGTTCACGAAAGTCAATGATTAAATCTCGAAGTTTTTGGCTGAAAAGAAAAAAAATGCTTTCAGTAATATTTCTTAGGAAAGTGGGGTTAAATCAGGGGTGGGCAAACTTTTTGACTCGAGGGCCACAATGGGTTCTTAAACTGGACCGGAGGGCCCTAACAAAAGCATGGATGGAGTGTTTGTGTGAACTAATATAAATTCAAAGTAAACATCATTACATAAAAGGGTACGGTCTTTTTTTTTTTTTTAGTTTTATTCATTTCAAACGGGCCAGATCCGGCCCACGGGCCGTAGTTTGCCCACGGCTGGGTTAAATTCAGATTCATTCACTGTTACAAACCTGGCATCAGTATTTTTCATCAATTTAGAAAGATTTCCTAATGGGGTATCTATATCACAATTTTTTTCTTCCTGGTCCAATCTGAACAAAGTTGATTCTGGGAGTACTGACAAGTTCCTAAAACAGCAAAACAGATGCACATGAATGTTTTTCACTTAACATAGTAAGTTGGCCTGTACAAGAAATATATTACTATCTGCTAAAAGAGTAAATGGCCCAAAATAGCTATTAAAATGGATACCATTTCCATTGAGTTACCCAGAAGTCATTGCTTCCCAGTCACTGATCTCCATCCATTAAGAAATGGTGACACATGCCTGCACTTCAAGCAGGGAAAGCAGGCAGTATAGGAAGGAGAAGATATGGATGTTGATGAACATGGATATTAGACTTTGCCCCCAAATTTTACAGCAACTATTCTACTATTTACTTAATATTTTTCTTTAAATCAACCTGTTTGTTTGAACTGAGATAAATATACTTTATATCACAACTATTAATGAATAAATTATTTTTTTTTTAAGGGAAAGAACAAAATGGTGAATGCCGGAATGCTAAGAAGGAGAAATGCCGGGGTTCTTGTTCCAGCATCTAGAAGGGTTCAGCAATCTGGAGAAGGGGCCGTGTGTAACTTAAAGAGTCTAGAGACGAAATATAATTTTGAAAGGCATTGGGGGTCAGAGGAGCCTAGCTAAAAGGAGCTAAGATCTCCTCGTCTCAGGACCCCATGCTTTTTATTAACATAAATTGTCCTGAGGCGAGGCGGAGATAAACACTTCAAAGGGTTAGGGCAGTGGTTCTCAACCTTCTGGCCCTTTAAATACAGTTCCTCATGTTGTGACCCAACCATAAAATTATTTTCGTTGCTACTTCATAACTGTAATGTTGCTACTGTTAGGAATCGTAATGTAAATATCTGATATGCAGGATGGTCTTAGGCGACCCCTGTGAAAGGGTTGTTCGACCGCCAAAAGGGTCACGACCCACAGGTTGAGAACCTCTGGGTTACGGTTTTGTATACACAGTCCATTGTCAGAATTGGGGGAATTAGCCTACGGCTGTTCAGGAGTTTGGCCAGTAGGAGGCAATAACACACAGATTAAGATGCCCCGAGCTGTCTGGCAGCAAACAATCATCCCTTTTCAGGTTTGGGGAAATGCCTTTAGTCATTCCCGACAGGATTACAACATATGTGACTCAGCCCTTGTTGAGTCCCCAAGTTCCATCAACCTTTTGATGAAACTCTTGCAATTATGACATGCTGGAATTGGCTTCCGGCAGAGAAATAAGCTACATCTTTAACACAGGCTCTCTATCCTGCCCACCGGACATGTGGTTGTGAGAATGAGGTAGGACTATGTCCACATTAGCACTATGGGACGTGATGCACTAAAGAAAAGTTCAGCCGTTTGGAAGTCCCTCAAACGTCAAACACAAAATTAGCAGGTGACCCAGCAATTCCACTGTGACTTATCTACAAGGGCAATAAAAAGATGTTCACATAAAAATTTGCAAGTGAATATTTATAGTAACACTAACCATAACACCCAAAAGTGAAAACAATTCAAATGTCTATCAGCTGGTGAATAAATGAACAAAACGTGGTCTATCGATGTAACAGAATATTATTCAGGCATAAAAAGAAATAAGGTACTAAAGGGAAAAAAAGAGATGAGGTACTGATAAATGCTAAAACATGGATGAACCTCATAAACATGCTAAAAGAAGCCAGACCAAAAAATAAAAATAAAAAACCACCACCACGTGTTATGTGGTTCTATTTACAGAAATATCCAGAAGAGGTCCATCCACAGAGACAGGCAGCAGAGCAGCTGTTGCCAGGGGCTTGAGGGAGGGAGAGGAGAAAGTGATTGCTTAACGGGCACATTTCCTTTCAGGGTGATGAAAGTGTCTTGTAACCAGACAGAGGTGCTGGTTGCACAATACTGTGACTGTGCTACATGCCACCAAACTGTGCATTTTAAAATAATTAATGGTCTGACTCAGTGGATAGAGCATTGGCCTGTGGACTGAAGGGTCCCAGGTTCGATTCCAGTCAAGGGCACCAAAAAAATAAATAAATAAATAAAAAATTAATGGTCAATTCTATGTTATGTGAATTTTACCCCAAATTTTTAAATAAAGAAATGAAGTACTGATATATACTGGTACATGAAAATGAATCTCAAAATAGTAGGCTGAAACAAACAAAAACACTAGGGTAAATGAAAAACGCCAGTCACAAAAGGCCATATACTGTGCGCTCCCGTTACATAAAATGTTCAGAACAGGTAAAGCAATAGAGACAGAAAGGCAACTGGTGGTGTGGTTGTCTAGGGCTGGAGGAGTGACTGCTACAGGGCACAGGGTTTCTTTATGGGGAGATAAAAATGTTCTAAAATTGATTTTGGTGATGGGTATAACTCTGAATATACTAAAAACCATTGAATTATACATGTAAAATGGATGAACCTGTATGGTATGTGAACTATATCTCAGTAAAGCTGTTCTCCCTCTCTCCCCCCAAAAAAGGGAGCATTTCATTACCTGTCTAATAAGCAGGTTACCGTTGTCACGGTAATCTCTTTCACGTATCCCCTAGACAAAGCAAATAGTGTTCTCTCTTCTCCACTTAAAATAATCCTGTCACCTGCCATTAGGTTTGTGACAGGCATGGCACCATTTTTACGTTGGAAATTATGTAAATACTGTCCGTCACAAAGTGTCTTTACATGTTCTGTTCTAATCAGGTTTCCAATGCAGTTGCCACTTTGCTCCCTATGGAATAGAAAGAGAAAGCTTCCATTTATATCACATATATAAACACTATATTTGCAGTTTTCCCCAATTTTCTTGTTCATCTGGCCCCCCAAAACTCCAATGCTAATACTGAGTCTGTCATTTTACATGTTCCACAATCCACACTAAAATTTTAGGAATGCCCCTGGCCGGCGTGGCTCAGTGGTTGAGCGTCAACCTATGAACCAGGAAGTCACAGTTCAATTCCCAGTCCGGGCACATGCCTGGGTTGCGGGCTTGATCCCCAGTGTGTGCAGGAGGCAGCTGATCAATGATTCTCTCTCATCACTGATGTTCCTATCTCTCTCTCCCTCTCTCTTCCTCTCTGAAATAGATAAAAATATTTTTTAAAAAATAAAATAAAATTTTAGAAATGCTAAGGGAACATTCTATTACCTTGGAAACAATCTCCCACCAATAGGCCGCTAGACAAGTGCTAGGGAGCACCTCCCGTGTTGCACGCACAGGCTGGGACCTCTGAGCAGCCTGTGTGTCAGCACTTTGATCCTGAAAGGACACCCTCACCCCGTGCATCACATCACAAAAGACAAACAGCGATGACCCATTCCTAAATCCTATTTCTTCAGTGTTTACATGAGGATTTATAATTGCTGTTATTAAAATAATAGCAAGCAAACTGATAATTCCACTGCTTCTAGGAAATAAATATTGAGCATTTACAATCACGCAGGCACTACTATTAAACACTAAACAACCTCAGAAGCTTTTTGGCATGTGCACTTGACATAGTCACTATACTTTTGTAGTCTATGTATAACTACTCAAACATTCTCCACCGTGATGTTTTCAGTGTTAAAGTCTAGTATTAAGGAAATAATGATCCAATTATTTCTAAAGTCACATAATTATCAATATTCATTATGGAAAGAAACAAATAGATGAAAAGCAACTAAATATTAAAGAAAAATATAATGCAAAGATATAAAAAACTGCAACTTTACAATTAACTTGGGAAAGAAAATGGATCTCACAAAATACAAGATTGACCAACTGTAGAAAATATAAGCCTGTATCAAATAATTTATTTAAATTTATTTCAATACATTTAAATTTTTGCCTGGCCAGGGTGGTTCAGGGCCCACCCATGAACCAAGAGGTCAGGACACATGCCTGGGTTTAGCCCGATCCCCAGTAGGAGGCGTGCAGGATGCAGCCAATCAATGATTCTCTCTCATCATTGATGTTTCTATCTCTCGCCTCCTCTCCTTCCTTCTCTGAAATCAATAAAAATATATTTAAAATTGGACTTCCTGAGGCATATTTTTCCTACTGAAAATAGCTAACAATGGTGCTCTACTCAGAAACAATTCATTGACAGCCATCTGGAGTTAGCATGAATATATGAATCTGCGTGTCTTTAACACACAATATAACCAGTATTTGTCACGAATTCCAAATGCCATTCCACTAATCCAAATTATTGAAGTTTGACTGTTTTAAATGTAGTACTTACATTTCTGATGAAGACATCAACCATATATTTTGGTTATTTTCTACACAGAAACAATTCATTGACAGCCATCCGGAGTTAGCATGAATATATGAAACTGCGTGTCTTTAACACACAATATAACCAGTATTTGTCACGAATTCCAAATGCCATTCCACTAATCCAAATTATTGAAGTTTGACTGTTTTAAATGTAGTACTTACATTTCTGATGAAGACATCAACCATATATTTTGGTTATTTTTTTTATTATCCTTTGATTTTGACTCCAGAGTTAACATTAGACACCACAGGCTGAAATACTCCAAGTGTGTGACCTTGAGGTGCTGGGTTTCCTCTTTTATTTTGGCCAGCATGCCAGTCGGGACTGAGCTGCCATCCATCTGCTGTTCGACTGCTCTAAAGATAAAGCCCCAAGTCAGACATGTGCATAAAACATTTTGCTGGCTATGAAATGAGATACTTCTAAAATAAGTACATATAGTGATGATCATCATAACTTCTAACCACAGGCTCTAATTTTCTTTAAAAGTCATTTCAATATTCTACAAGCCAAATGGTTTTTTACAAAACAAAATGCTTAAGAAACTCAATATGGCATTATTTTGCCTTCAATGACTGTGCCCCTAACAACTAGTTGGTATACTCTCGTCTTCATTCCTATAGGTAGCAAGTTTTGGCTTTTTGTACAACTGCATTTCTCAAAGTCACAATATTTGTACAGACAGCTCTGTGCCACAGGAAAGTCAACATAAAAACTAGGAGAATTATCTGGAATTTCATTTTGCTTAATGCTAATTTCTAAATTTTTATATAGAAACAAATATCTCATAGGATAGCCTACAAAACATTGAGAATAAAACACAAGATTTCACAACAATGTGCTTATAGTAAAGGCCCCAACTTCCCATGGTTCACAGTCTTCTCCCATTAAGAGATCCTTTGATACAATAGTTTTAAAAGTTCTTTCTGTGAATTTTCAGGCTGAATTAGAATTTGGGTTCTGATTTGATCTTGTCTAGTCTGTATTTACATCTAGCTACTTTTTTGTGTCCTTTTGCTGGCCTATGAAGGTATAAATACAAATGACTGTTTATAAGAGCTAAAAACTTCCCACATGTAATAAAATAGACATAAAATTCAAGGCCACTGGATCATACCAAACTTTGTGTCTGGAAGAAACATTTTCCCTGTTTTTTTTAAACTACAAAAGGCCTGAAATTAAAACAGCAACTAAGAAGCGAAAGACTTCTTAAAACACCATTTAAGTTGTATTCAAAATGCCTATGCTACATACTCATCTTTCTTAACCAAAGTTCAAAAAGCATTCTATTGTCCCCCAAGGAAACAGGCTTGTTATAAAATACTAGAGGCCCGGTGGTCCCTAGGCCTGGCCAGCGATCAGGGCCAATCAGGGCCTTCCAGCTGCCGGCTGGGGCCTTCCTTCCCTGGCTGCCAGCTGCCGGTGGGGGTCTTCCTTCGTTCTGTGCCACCCCCTGGTGGTCAGAGCATGTCATAGCGAGCGATCGAACTCCCAAGGGGACTCTTTGCAATTAGCCTTTTATATATATAGAAGATGAACTGTGGCCCTAGCCAGTCTGGCTCAGTGGATAGAGTGTCAGCATGCAGACTGAAGTGTCCCGGGTTTGATCCCAGTCAGGGGCATGTACCTCAGTTGCAGGCTCTTGGCCCTGGTCGGCAGCATGTGGGAGACAACCAATTGATGCATCTCTCTCACATCGGTGTTTCTGTCTCTTCCTCTCCCTTCCACTCTCTCTAAAAATCAATGGAAAAATATCCTTGAGTAAGGATTAAAAAATATCCTTGAGTGAGGATTGAACTGTGTTTTTTTTCCTAGTCCCTTCATTTTACAAATACACACAGAAAAAAATGGCTAAAATGAAATCATCAATGCCAGACCAGCCAGCAATGTTAAATCATTTTAAGTTGAGTGCATACTTAAATGAAATTAGTATTTTTGGAAGACAGTGTGTTTACCTGCTATAAAGAGCACAGTTACCCACTTGTGAACAATATTTACAGGTTTGCTGGTCCTCGATTATTTGTGGCAAAGGAGTAAGCTCTGTCTTCTCCTTTCCAGTAGCAGGTTTGCTAATACGGTGAGACAAGGAGAATGCCATCTGGTTTCTTAGTTTTAATAATTCTATGGGGGGAAGAAGAAAAAAGAAAAATTAATTAATTAATTAATTAATTATATGGGGGGGAGGACAGGTGTCTTTTAAGAATTAAGTTTATTATATATCTTTTCCATTGCATAAATAAAACTTCAGATTTTAAAACATTTAAAAAAGTAAAGAACAACATTCATTTTTCCCCACTACACTAGAATAACCACTGTTAACACTTTGGTATAATTCCTCCAATTTTTGTTCACTTGATAAATTCTTTCAACAATCATGTATCTCATAATTAGTACAAATTGTGAAGTTGGTGCTTTATTCGCTGAATGCTAAGGATAAATACAACTATCTAGAGTATAGGGTAGAAAATTTAAAATAAAATTTTATATGATAAAATTTTAAAAAGTTAGTATTTTCAACTCTACTGTGTATTGTTAAAATTCTTTTTTAAAAATACCATAACTACAAATTAAAACCTGTATTAGGCCTAGCAAGTACAGCGAGCTACTATCAGGTTAAACACAGGTACACCTTGTCTCATTGTGCTTTGCTTTATTGCACTTCACAGATTTTGTGTGTTTTTTACAAACTGAAGATACCCTACACCAGCAAAAAGATTATGACTCGCATGATGTCTAGCATTTCTTAGTAATAAAGTATTTTTTTAATTAAGGTATATATGCTGTTTTATTAGACATAATGCTACTGCACACTTAATAGACTACAGGATCATGTAAACATAACCTTTATATGCACTAAAAACCAAAAAATTCATGTTACTCGCTTTACTGTGATATTCGCTTTACTGAGGTCATCTGGAACCAAACCTGCAGTACCCACAGGTATGCTGTATGTATCACTAACAGTTGAAGGGGAAAACAAACAAAACCCAGAGAAGTAAAAATGGAGGAAACAGCTCAACCTCTTTTATCAAGATGTTTGGCAGGCACAGGGTACATCTGGCCGGTCTTGAGGTAGAGGAGCAGGCCAGCCTCCGGATCAGCTCTTCTCTCTTGACTTAGCAGTGTATACAGAACCAGCTGTGAAAACAGTGTACATTTTGTCAAATAAAACCTTAACTTTCTGCTTTTCCATATGTGGTTTGCAATCAATACATACTATAATTTTAAAATCAATAGGTCAATTAAGCTATTTCCATTTTGAAAATTACATTGATTTCAGAGAGGAAGGGAGAGGGAAAGAGACAGAAACATCAATGATGAGAGAGAATCACTCGGCTGCCTTTTGCACACCCCACACTGGGGATCAAGCCTGCATCCCGGGCATGTGCCCTGACCTGGAATTGAACCCGGACCTCCTGGTTCATAGGTCGATGCTCAATCATTGTGCCATGCCAGCCAGGTTACACTGATGTTTTCTAAAAAGTATCCTGTGTAGATGTTACATGAAAACAACAGCTCCATGGTAAATTAGGTTTAGGAAATATTAGGTTAAACATAGCTGACACAAATCATATTAAGACTTCTCAGAAACTATAATAGGCTAATGTGCATCATCATATCTACAAATATGCTTGGTTTCCCCAACTTACATGACCAAGGAATTCTTTTTTTAGGAGCATCTGTTTAGACTGTTAGTTTGGCAACATAAACTTGCCAATATTATCTGACAAGTTCAGATGTATTCGTTGCTGGAGAAAACTTTCTGCTGTAGCCATGTATATCTATATATAAAAGGCTAAGCGACTGGCCACCAGGGAGCAGACGCTCAACGCAGGAGCGACAGCAACTTTGCAGAGTGCCTTCTCGCACTCCGGGACCCCTCAGGGGACGTCGGACTGCTGGTTTTGGCCCGATCTCCACAAGCCAGGCCGAGGGACCCCACCTGCCAGAGGGACCCCACTCACTCTGCAGACGTCCTTCGAGCCCCGGCGCTGCCCTGGGTGTGGCCGGCCAGAGAGGGACCGCAGGAGGTTGGCTCCAGGGCATGTCCGGCCCTTCTCGCCCAGGCCCTTCTCGCCCAGTCCCACCCCGCCAGCCACCTTCTAATTAACCTCCTTTCAATGTGCACAAATCTGTGCACCGGGCCTCTAGTCTATGTATAAGACAATTTGAGTACTCTGACTGTATCACAAATTGAAAAGTACTATATGAAACTCAAACATTACCTAAATTGAACCAAAATATATAAAGCAGACTACATTTTTAAATCTATTAAACATTCAATTTCCTCATTAAGATTTATATACCTGACTACGGTGTTCAATAGAATTTGATTCTTTTCCAGTTTTAAGTTCCAATGGCATTATTTTATATTTTGTTTTACATCCTCGGTGAATTTTCACACCAACTGTAACATCTATCTTGCCCTTTAATCCAAACCTAGGGGACCAAATGCTTTCTTCAATATCCAATGACTTTATGACTTCAATATTACATGCTGCATTATTGTTACTACCATCACTTGGCCTAAAAACAAAACACAAAAACACTTAATTAGAACACTTAGCTCACTTCTCATCTGCTACCATTGACTTTTCACTGCACTCAGCGAATGTGGGGATGGAAAAGGGTCTATATACCTTTACAGCAGTGGTTCTCAAAGTGTATAGCACTGGCATCAGCTGGGAACTTGTGATCAATGCAAATTCTCAAGCCCCACTCCAGGCCGACTCAATCAGAAATATTAACGGGTGAGGCCCAGCAATTTGTTTAACAAACTCTCCAAGCAATTCTGATGCACACTCAAGTTTAGGAACCATTGTCCTATAGGCTCCAACTCATGTATATACATTTTCTTGTATTTGTCATCTGTCCCTTTCAGTTCACTGCTATTGCAATCTTCCCAACTCGGGCCTTTACGTCCTCAGGCCTAGATTACTGCAAGTCTCGCTACTTGAACTGCTGGAGCCACAATTCCTATCTGAATATTCTGATATATAATTATTATACGGATTGATATATAATTGCTTGCATGTGGTTGCACCCTAGGTAGCAACGGATGTGTTCCTTCATGTAATACCATATTAACTTGGGTAAGAACGAGTTTGATCATCCAACACTTACACCCCTGTGACAATCCTGGAGAGACGAAAATAACTTTTAAAGCCTTTTACATTTCTCTTATCTAAGATTTACTTATTTTTAGAGCAGTAAGTCATTCTGCAGAAGAAAATTCAGATAAGGGCTAACTTTTATTAATCCTATTTTAGACTCAAAGCCATATAAAAAACTAGATCTAACAGAAATCTTACATGAAAAGGATACATTTTCTAGTAACAAAGCATTTTATATCATATAAAATTGCTATTTAAAAAGTATAAGAGCCCTGGCCAGTATGGAAAGATACTCAGGACTGTAATTTGTAAAATAAGCAAACAAAAAGGCTAGTTGCATTAACTCAATCTTTAAAAAGCTTTAATTCAAAATACAGAACAGAATCCTGGTCTAAATATATGAACCAGATAATCAAAATGGGTTTCTTACAAAGAGAGCTGCATCTGCGGGAAGTCGGTTGAAGTGTATTTCTGCATGAAATCTCCAGCCCACTTAGAAAATGAAGGAAGATACTCTTCTACTTCTTGTTTTACTTCATCTTGATTCAAATTTAAGCGGTACCTGGAAAATAAAAGATTACATGTAAAAGCTTAAATATGAAAACAGTAAAAAAGGACAAAAACATCCAAATAAGCAACCCAAGTACCTCTGGACTAACAGATAACCAAAGTGTGGGCTATACGTACAAGGGGTTACTATTCAGCCTTAAAGGGGACAGAGCAGAGCCCTGTCAGTCCTCCGAAAGCGCTGGGTCAGCAAGGAAGACAAATGAGCAGCCCACTCTGCCAAGAGCATCTCCTGAGCACGCCCGGAACCTCAGCTTGAGAGAGAAGCTGAAATCCCTCAAGCCAGGGAGCAGCTGCTGACACATGTCCCAAACGATCCCACCTTCCGTCTGACAGAGGCAAAGGTCATCCTTGCAAAAGACTGTTTGAGCTCTGGCAACTTCCAGTCGATAACAGAGGATGTAGGTGAGAATGTGGGGAAACCAGGACTCAGGTATTGCTGGCAGAAATGTAAATTGAGGCAATGCCTATATAGAGCAATTTGGCAATACATATCAAAACTTTTTTTTTTAATTTCAGAACATCCAGGGTGGTCACTTTAGGTGTCTGAGTTTGCAAGGCCAGGCCAGGCCTCCACACAGGCCTCCCCAGAGAAGGTCAGGTAGGTTAGCATGTGCCCCCCCCTCCTTTTTTAATATATTTCTTTATTGATTTCAGAGAGGAAGGGAGGAGAGAGAGATAGAAACATCAATGATGGAGAGAATCATTGATTGGCTGCCTCCTGCACGCCCCCTACTGGGGTGATCGAGCCCGCAACCCAGGCATGTGCCCTTGGCCGGAATCGAACCTGGGACCCTTCAATCCGCAGGCTGACACTCTATCCACTGAGCCAAGTCGGGCAGGGCAATATCAAAACTTGAAGTGTACCCAGACTGGGTCCCGAGCAGAAGCGGGCAAGATGCTAGAAAGGACATTACTGGGCAAAACTGAAAATGTGGACAGATCAGACAAAAGTATTCCATCAATGTTAAATTTCCTGAAGTTGGTAACTGTGCTGTGGTTACATAAGAGAAAATCCTTCTTCTTAGGAAATACACACTTAAATATACATCATGGTTCTTTACCTCTGGGACATGAGCCCTGAGCTCACCTGGCTCAGCATCAGCAAGAACGTGTCATGAGCAGAGTCCTCGGCCAGCAACAGGCTGCCACGCCGAGCACTGAGGCCCCACACCCAGCTGTCACCACAGACGGGTTAGGGGAGAGAGGCCCAAAGGGAGAGTGAGCAAGGCCAGCTTTGCCCACTGCAGTAGGGGCCCCAGGATGCCCAGGGCCCTCCTCGGCCTGCTCTACGGCCGGTGTCTTCATGGTCTACAGCCCATTACGTATTCCATGATGAAGACCACTTAATCTTAGAAAAAGTAAACACACACATACACACAACAGGTGAATACGAGTGAAGAGTATATGGATGTTCTCTGTACTACTCTTGCAGCTATTCTCTAAATTTAAAATTATTTCCAAATAAAAATATTTTTAAATGTGTAAATGTATAAATCCTCTAGTCCAACAATTCCACTTCTAAGTACTGAGCCAACATACATGCCCGCACAGCTATGAAATAAAGGATGTACAAAGGTATTTATTATAGCATTGCTAATAAAAGCAGACTGAGACCCACGGGGATGCTTAAATAAATTATGGTATATCCATATGATACATTATGCCACTATTAATTAAATATGAGATAGCTCAGCCCTGGCTGGTTTGGCTCAGTAGACAGAGCATCGCCTATGGACTGAAGGGTCATGGTTTCGATTCTGGTCCAGGGCACATGCCTAGGTTGTGCGCTGGATCCTTAGGGGGGTGTGCAGGAGGCAGCCGATCCATGATTCTCTCTCATCATTGATGTTTCTGTCTCTCTCTCCCTCTCCCTTCCTCTCTGAAATCAATAATATGTATATATATACACACACACACACACATATATATGTAAATAAATAAAAAGATTTAATTTTTAAGTGCATGATAATGTTCATGGTATACTACCATCTATATAACAAAATATAAATACACACACACACAACACACATATAAATGTTTGAAATCTCTGGAAGGACATATAAGAAAACAACAGTGGCTGCCTCTGGGGAAAGGAATGCATGATGAGGAAAATAAGGATAGAAAGGACTTACGTTTTACTGTACACACGCTTGTACATTACAGTAACATATGGTATACATGAATTTATGCCCTATTTAGAAATAACAAGTGAATAGTCTTTTTCCTAAATAAATGTCTCCAGCCATCCGGGAACCGTTCTTCACTGTCATCAACTCCTTACGTAGACTTTACACATCAGGACTCTTTAAAGTTTCCACACCGGTCTGTACTGGCTATTTAATGTCTCCTGCATCTAAATTCTCCCTTTTTAATTTCGTGAAGTCACAGCAAAATAACATAGAACAGCCTAGTTTTTCCTGAGATTAGTAAGATACTTAAAGTGAGATCTTCAAGCCTAGACTCATAAATATAATGACATGGTAGAACATGAACAGATAAAAACTTGTTCTAAGAGCTGTACTAGGGTAGAAAAAGGCCTAGGAGAGAGGGTAGAAAAGAACTTTGGATCTATTATTTTAGGATTTGGGAGTTTAACAAAGTATTGAAATGAAACACAAGTTTTCCCTTAATGTCTTAGAATATCATGATTTAAAAAAACCACAGTAATATAATTCAGTGACCCAAAGATGTGCTAAGAATGCATTCCCCCACATTTCTGACCTTCATAGTTCTTATATGTATATATTTTTTTAATATACTTTTAGTGATTTCAGAGAGGAAGGAAGAGGGATAGAAACATCAATGATGAGAGAGAATCATGCACGCCCCACACTGGGGATTGAGCCTGCAATCAGGTCTGTGCCCTGATTGGGAATCGAACCGTGACCTCCTGGTTCACAGGTCAACCACTGAGCCACGCCGGCTGGGCAGTTCTTATATATTTTTTTATTTTTATTTTATTTTTTTTTAACATTATGTTTCTGCACATAGACTGAACCAACTTCTTTTTTTAAAAAAAATATATATTTTATTGATTTTTTACAGAGAGGAAGGGAGAGGGATAGAGAGTTAGAAACATGGATGAGAGAGAAACATCGATCAGCTGCCTCCTGCACATCTCCCACTGGGGATGTGCCCGCAATCAAGGTACATGCCCTTGACCAGAATTGAACCTGGGACCTTTCAGTCCACAGGCTGGCACTCTATCCACTGAGCCAAACCGGTTAGGGCAGTTCTTATATATTTTAAAGTTTCCTCTTTCCTATACTGCAATGAAGCTATCAGCTCACATGTTATATGACTATGAAGGTGCCTCTCCCGCATCTCAGAAACCAGGTAAGTAAGAATGTTAGCTATCAGTGAAAAATAACAGATGCTAAGGGAATCAGAGAGATATTCCATGACATGAAGTGAACAAGGGTTTTTTTTAATACATGAACAATATGAATTCTAAGCAAGGCTGCTCAGAAACCTTGTTTTCTTTCATCCCTGTATACAAGTTGGGTTCTGGATGAATCAGATTGCCCGATACCTAAACACCCGAGGTGGTTTAAAAGATGTCCAAATTCCTTGACACACCTTTCAAAAGATGGCACCCAATTCCCCTACGTTTAAGGGAGAGCTGCATGTAGTGACTTGCATCTAAGGAATAAAAAAAGCAGCCGTGACAATGTAGGAATTCAAACACTAGGTGAGAGAAGGCACTGTGCTTCCTGCTTGCTCTTTCTTGGACCCTTCCCTCCAAGCAGCAGCGGCATGGCATGAGGACACGCAGCCTTATGAAAGAACCACGTGGCGAAGAACGAGACCTCCTGCCAACAGTCAGCCAGGCACCGAGGCCTCAACACATGGGCCATGTGAGTCATCCTCCTGCACTGGGCAAGGCTAGATGACTGCAGCCCCACATGGGAGACCCGGAGCCAGAACCAGCCCGCTAAGCCACCTCCGAATTTCTGACCTACAGCAACTATGAGGTAACAGGCTAGAAGCTTGCCATTTAAGCCACCAAGTTTTGATGTGACTGGTTTCAGGGCCATAATCAATCCAGTATACAACAGATAAGATAATCATTTGCTGATTAGGGTGTGACACAAAAATTCAAAATTTGAAACGCAAAGTGGCAAATAGGCAATAAATAGAACTCAAAGCAAAAGCTTTATTAAATCTATTTATATTCTGAATGCTGTGCTTTGTGGTCATGGCCACTAAGTTTTGATGTGACTGATTTCAGGGCCATAATCAATCCAGTATACAACAGATAAGATAATCATTTGCTGATTAGGGTGTGACACAAAAATTCAAAATTTGAAACGCAAAGTGGCAAATAGGCAATAAATAGAACTCAAAGCAAAAGCTTTATTAAATCTATTTATATTCTGAATGCTGTGCTTTGTGGTCATGAACAAGTGACAACTTCTCTGTGCTTCAGTTTCTTCATTTATAAGAAGCTGCAATCAGACTATTCAAGATATGCATAAAAGCACAACACAGTGCCGGACATACGGCAGCGGCCTGAAATGTTTTACGACACTAGATTACATGTCATCGCTAAATCATTTGTGTGAAATTTTGGAACACATTTTTTCCCACATAAACAGTGAAGCACAGAATTACTATCTGGGAAAATAGATTGATGTCAGAATCAAAATCATCACTAATAAAAACTTGTCTGTGAGAAAAGATGGGCTGCAGTGGGAGTCAAGGGAGAAACAGACGGCAGAACATGCCAAACCCTCTGAAGGTCGTCAGTCACTCATAAAACGCCAATGATTAACCACCTGTGGGTTCATATACATCATTTCCATTGTCACAAGATGCAAAATAGGCATTATCACCGTTTCAGAATGTTTAAGTGACTTCTGCAGTCATCAAACTGGCAAAGCTAGAATTTCAAATGAGATCTGACTTCCAAACCCATACGATTTTCAGCATGTCACCCTGTTTCTAAAGGCAAAACGCTTTACACACTCTCAGAGTCCGCTGTACACATGTACAGAAAATTCAGTTATTTTTAGCCAAAGAGTTCCTGTTGTGCAATTTTAGAAGCTCTTCACAGAACTGGAAGGGGAGACTGCAACTTTGGAATCTGCATTTTAGTATTACACTAATTTACACTGAATAGTAAAATGGCCAAGTACCTTATAGATTCTAGGAGAAGTTATATAATAAAACTGTACCTGCAGTTCTCTTGTAACTACTTACATTTCTTTCAGATGCCTTATCTCTTGAACAGTTTGAAAAGCAAGTTCTTGTAGCTTTTCTGGGGCAAAGCTATCACTTATTGCTTTCTGAAATACTTCATGGAGAACCGTACCAATCAGCATTTGGCGTGTGGCTGGATCAGAGCCCTAGTAAGAAAAAACACACAAAAATGTTTTATTTTACAACATATTAACAGATGTGAATGTATACTTATTACCTAACCCCGTGGTTGGCAAACTGCGGCTCGCGAGCCACATGCGGCTTTTTGGCCCCTTGAGTGTGGCTCCTCCTAAGCCTTAGGAGTACCCTAATTAAGTTAATAACAATGTACCTACCTATATAGTTTAAGTTTAAAAAATTTGGCTTTCGAAAGAAATTTCAGTCGTTGTACTGTTGATATTTGGCTCTGTTGACTAATGAGTTTGCCGACCACTGACCTAACCTATTAAACCACCATAGCCAAAGTGTACTACTAAGACAAATACCAAAACATCAACCAATGTATTTTTCTGGTGGGAGGAATTATAAGTGACTTTCCCTTTCTTTCTTTTTTTGTTAATTCTCACCAGAGATTTTTAGAAAGCGTGGAAGGGACCGGGAGAGACAAAGAGAAACATTGATTTGAGAGAGTCACATTGATTGGTTGCCCCCGCACGTCAGACCCAGACTGGGGTCAGGGATCCAGCCTGGAACCAAGGTACATGCCCTTAACAGGAATTGAACCCAAGACCCTTCAGTCCTCGGGCCCACGCTCTATATACTGAGCCAAACCGGCCAGTGCGACTTTCCCTTTCTTCTATTCAGAATGACATGAATTATTTTACAAGTATGAGAGAAAAAAACCCCACTATAGTTCTATTTAAAAAATTAACCAATATGAAAAAGTACAACATATTCTCAAATATTTCATATATTCCATTTTATAATTTATCCAAATAGAAAAACTCAATAAAGGCATAGCTCACAAATTCTTGAAAGCAAAAGATATTATTGAAACATAAAAATTTAACTTACAGTAGAGATTTTTGGCAAGAACGTTCTCTCTATTTAAAAAGGAAGTGTTTTTCAAGTAACCCTTTTATTAACCAAAGCTAGATAAAGTCCACCAAACCATCCATCAGGAACTTAAAAAACTTACAGAGGAACTCTTTGTACTACTTTTGGTAAATTCTATGTTGAGTCTAAATTATTTCAAAATAAAAGTTTTTAACAGAGTAATATTAGGTCCACCTTATAATACATGATTAAGAGAGAAGTTGATATTCTCCAACTGAAGAAAAAAAGTGGATAAACTAAACTACAAATAAGTAGCAATTAACACTATTAGAAAAAAACCTACAGAGGTATTTTTCCTTCTTTAGCTCTTGTTGCTCAGCTGTCATTTTGGTTTTCTACACACATGTAGATTAATTGTATAATTAAAACAATACGCTGGGAGGAAGAAACTTCTTTTTTTCATCCTCACCTGAATATACTATTTTTTTTAGAGAGAGAGAGAGAGAGAAACATCAATGGAATTAATCAGTTGCCTCTTGTACAAGCCCAACCAGGGACTGAACCCACAACCTAGGTATGTGCCCTGACATGGAATTGAACCCGTAACCTTTCTGTGTACGGGACAACGCTCCAATCAGCTGAACCATCCAGCCAGAGCAAGGAGTAAACGTTTAACAAGTAAAAACTCAGGTTCTGCCTTGGCTGGTGTTGCTCAGTGGTTATAGTGTCGACCGAAGAACCAAAGGGTCGAGGGTTCGATTCCTGGTCAAGGGCACATACCTGGATTGCAAGTTCACTTCCCGCCCCAGTTGGGGAACATGTGGGAGGCAACTGGTCGATGTGTATCTCTCACATGGATGTTTCTCTCTCTCTCTCTCTCTCTCTCTCTCTCTCTCTCCCCCACCCCTCCAACCTCCCTTCCACTCTCTCTGAAAAGCAATAGAAAAAAATATCCTCAGGTGAGGATTAACAAAAACAAAAAACAACTAAGGTTCTTCAACAAATAAACGGCATGGAAACAAAGGGGGCAAGTAGAAGGCAGAAATAATACAGATAAAAAGAAAGTTAACAGACGTATCAACATAATACAAACAATTTGTTTGGATACTGATTCTAACAAACCAACTGAATAAAAAGATACTTTTGATGAAAGACATTAGAGATAAATTGAGCATTAGATTAATGTGAGAAATTTCTGTGTCTCAATTGGTTGAAGCATCATCCCATACACCAGAAGGTGGCAAGTTCGATTCCGGGTCAGGGCACATGCCCAGGCTGCAGGTTTGATCCCATCCCAGTCAAGGCATGTGCAGGAAGGAAGCAACTGACAGATATTTCTCTCTCACATCAATGTTTCTTTCTCTCTCTCTTCCTTCCTCTCAATAAAATAAATATTGCATTTATGTATATTTTTTAAATGTCAGCTTTTAGCCCTGGCCAGGTGGCTCAGCTGGTTGGAGCATCATCCTGTACACCAAATCGTTGCAGATTCAATTCCCAATTAGGGCACATATCCAGGTTACAGGTAACAGCTGATGGATGTTTCTCTCTCTCTCTCTCTTCCTATCCCTCTCCCTTTCTAAAATCAATAAAAACATATCCTCAGGTGAGGATTAAAAAAAAGGAAAAAAAAAGTCAGCTTTAATTTACTTGCAAAATAATATAATGTTTGGGAAAGCAGAATGGATACATGGAGGTTTATTATAATCATCTCCATGTATACTTGAAATTTTCCATAATAACTTTTTTAAAGGAGACTATCACATTTATTTTTAGTTTCTTGGAATGTCTAGATGTATTAAATTTAAATTTTTGTCAATTTCTTACCATTAGAATTATTTTATTAGGGTTGAAGAAGATTCACAGGATTCAGGCACATGGCCTTGAGTCCCAGCACTGCCACTTACTAGCTACATGACTTGAGCAAGTCACTTAAAGCCTCTGAGCCTGATTTTCTCATCTATAAAATGCAGCTGATTAATACCATCTCTTCACAGAATTATTGGAAGGATTAAGTAAAATAAAAGTGTAAAAGTGCTCTGCAAACTCTAAAATCCTGCAGAAACTTCAGCTCTTATATTACTCACCCTGAAAGTTTCACTCAGGACAGCTCTTCTCAGACATCGAATACTACTGGCTACGCTTGTGCCAGAAATCAGCATGTCTGGGTACAGGATCAAATATCCAAAATCTTCATCTATTATCCAAGTGTCAGACGTGCAGTCTCCCTCCAGGTGAATGATGTCCCCTGGCTCCACTGGTACAGAGCACCTACAAATAAGGCAAAGTATCAACACCGTTTAGGTTCCGACATTTAAGCTTATTAAGGAGGCTTCAAAATAAACAAATATGTTGTCTAAAGAAATAAGTATTTCTAAATGTATGGATCTTTTTAAAAAATTCAATACCAGGATGCAGTCTTCTGAATCAACTCTTAGTCACACCTTTGAAACACACCTTTTCCACCTTTGAAACACACCTGAGAATACGCATGGGTTTTCCTTTAATCCCAGAAAGGAAAGCTGCATTAACAACAGCCAAAGCTATCAAATCTTTAATGGTGTAACATAGAGCTCCAATTATGGATGATGTTGTTTTAATAATTATCTCCTTTTTTATTATTATTATCTCATTCTTAAGATTTACATCGTATCTACATCTTCTATGATTCTTAGGGCATGGAGCCAAATCCAATGTAGCAAGAATAAAATCATATTTATCTAGTTCATACCATCCAACTTGCAGCCTCAACAGAAAATCTAGGCAAAATTAGACCTGACTTCTCCGCATCTCCCCGTCACCCCTCGCATACCACACTTTACTTGGGTAGAGAAATATAAGGTCAAAGAATGTTCTTCTGCTGTAATTCATCTTGCTCTTTGTGAGAATATGAGTTTTAAGCTGTGATCTTAAAACAGAAAGGACTGGGGAAAAGGATGTAATCATTTACTAAGCCCCTTTGTCATTTCAAATGACAATAAAAATCAACTTTTGGAATAAGGGACTTGACATGCTGCTGGGGTAACAGGCACAAGTTTTATGTGGAATTAGTTCCGGTTGAAAACTACCCCCTCTATTAATAATTAAATCAGAGTGACATCCACACAAGCCCATGTGATGGGTTTTAAGATGGAACCTTAAGAATCCGCCAGATCAGAGCTCAAAGTCACACAGAAATTACCAGTCATTCCTAAGTATGCACAATTCTTTACAGTCTAGCGACTGGGAAGCAGTGATGATTAGATGCTTTTCGTGGTTTCCTTCTTCATTCTGCACAACATTGACTGCTAATACCAGGTACCGGTTATCCACTCCTCGGATCAGGACTGTTTTAGAAGAGGAAGCTTCCGCCTTCTGAAATCTAAAGAATACACACAGTGTAGCACAATCATGAAATAAGAAGCCAGCAATCTCCTTTATCTACAGTCCAATCTTCTAGTTTTTAGGTTTGTCTCCTCTGGAAAGCTTAGCACAATGACCATTAGCTAAAATGGTTAAAAATTAAGAGAGCAAAGACATAGCAGAATTCCTATTATAAGAACTTCCCAGAAGCAGTGTCATTTAAAACATACTTATGACATGGATATTTCCAAATATAAGATCCATGATTATAAGGATTAAAGAAAAATTGACGGGGAAAGATCAATGGGGGGAAAAAGGAAGACATATGTACTACTATGTATTTATAATACTTTAAACAATAAAATAAAATGTAAAAAGAGAGAAACTGAGAAAAAATTAAACAACACATCCCACCACTTGTGCAAACCGTCTCAAAGTACAAATAAAAGGGACCATTTTGGACACTATCCTTTTTGTAAATCAAAGAGATGCTTGGCCCAACTGTGGCTCAGCTGGTTCAGACTCATCAAAAGGTTGCCAGTTCCATTCCTGGTCAGGGCACATACCAGGTTTCGGGTCCAAAACCCTATGAAGGTGTGTATGGAAGGCAACTGATGTTTCTCACATCAATGTTTCTCTCTCCCTTTCTCGCTCTAAAAATCAATAAAAACGTTTTTTAAATATATATATATATATTTATTTCAGAGAGAGAGGGAGAGAGAGAAACATCAATGATGAGAATCATTGATCGGCTGCCTCCTGCAGGCCACCTACTGGGGATGCAGCCTGCAACCTGGGCATGTGCCCTTGGCCGGAATCAAACCTGGGACTCTTCAGTCCACAGGCGGAAGCTCTGTGCACTGAGCCAAACCGGCTAGGGCAATAAAAACTTTGTTTGTTATAGAACTGTGAGCCACATAATTATATTAATCTTTAAATTAGGACAAACATAGAAATCATCTAGTCCAATCTACTATTTAATGCTGGAAAACCTTCTATGAAATCTCTTTGGGAATCAACCAGCCCCTGCATTGTACAGAAAGCAAACTTAATACAGTAGCTCGTTCCTTCATAGAGTAACTTGGAAATTTCTTCTATAACGGGCAAGTCAATATCACAATACTTTTACCCACTGATCCCAGCCGCCTGAAAACTACGCCAAATAATCTCTCCTCTAGAAAATGTTAAATTCCTCTTAAGTCTTTCCTGTTTGATGGCAGTAAGACTTCAACAGAGTCCAAAGTCATCATCTCTCCAATTATAACACCAAATGCTTTCACATTACCCTAAAATTATCTTTGTCACCACCCTAGGTTCTGTTGTTTTGGAACCTCCCCATTCACCTCACCCACAATTTCCCAAGGCAGCTGGGACGCCTTAAGGATCTCCCCAACCCCAAACGCAAAGATCCGTTACCAATAAGCAGCATCAGTGTTGCTGCTGTTGAAAATAACCACCCCATGACTGTGGGTCTCCCCCCGCTCCCCGACCATATAAACCGAGATGAGGGTGCAGAGCTCTCCAACTAAACATGGAGAAAACACCTCGCAATTTCCTTTAATGAAGACATTTAAGCGGCTAGGACTCTCCAACTTCGGGACAGTGAAATCGAGGGAAATGAGCCGCTAGACGAGGGAAGTCTCCAGGCTCTGGTCCGTGTGGCCCAAAGAGGACCCCGGGAAGCAGACCCCCCACCCCACGCCCGCCCTGGAAACGCGTGCGGCGCGGGACCGCCTCTCCCGCTCCTTTCGTTCAAATCTCCCGCTTGGCTCCCGGACCCTCCCCCCGCTCCGCTCACAGCTCTGCCGGCGGCTCAGCCTCCTCCCCGAAAGTCTCCTCCATCAGCAGCTCCAAGTCACCCAGCTGCTCCATCCCGGGCACGGAGATCGCAAACGGTCGCCTGGAAAAATCGGGGGAACCCGCAGCCACTGAAGAGAAAGCAGAGCC